TATTGGACACCTTTAGTCCCAGTGCTCAGGAGGCAGAGGCAAGCAGATCTCTGGGAGATGGAGCCCAGCCTGGTCTACATAGCAAGTTCCAGGCCAGCTGGGACTATAGGAAGACCCTGTCTCAAAAAACAAAGAAAAAATATATTTATTTTTAAAAATTTTTTTGATTTTATGTGTATGAGTATTTTGGTGACATGTATGTAAGTACACCTGTGTTGTGCAATGCCCACAGAGGCCAGAAGAGGTTGTTAGATCCCCTGGAAATAGAGTTTAGGGTCAGTTGTTAGCTGCCATGTGGGTACTGGGAACAGATTTCTGGTTCTCTACAAGAGCAACAGGTACTCTTAACTGCTGAGCAATCTCTCTAGCCCCTCATTAAGATTTAAAATTTTTGCCAGGGATGGTGGCCCATGTCTGTAATCCCAGCATTTGGGAGGGGGGTGTGTGTGTGTAGATCAGAGGACAACTACTGGAAGTCAATTCTCTTGTGGGTCTCAGGAATTGAACTCAGGTTGTGAGACCTGGCAGCCAGTCCCTTTACCTACTAAGGCATCTCGCCAGCCCATGACGAATCTTTTTTGAGACAGGGTCTCCCTGTAGCTCCAGCTGGTCTGGAACTCACTATGTAGACCAGGCAGGCCTTGAACCACAGAGATCCGCCTGCCTCTGCCTCCCCAGTGCTGGGACTATAGGTGTGCGCCACCACACCTGGCCCCATGATGAATCTTTAAATGTTAAAAAAAATAGTCCTGTGTCAGGGTACCTTTGAACCTGTTAGATGTGAGTGCCTTCCTAAGACTTGATCCCTAGGAGAGGGACTCAGTTCTCCTCCGCAGCAGTGTTGTGGGCCTCCAGGTAGAGTGCACAGTCGCTATTGTCCTGCCTTCTGGGCTTGGCTAACTTATCTACACAGAAATGCAGTTGGGCAGAGGGTTTCCTTTCTTTGTTTTTTTGTTTGCCTTTTGTTGTTGTTAGTTGTTTTTTGGGGGTGGGGGTTGTTTTTGAGACGGGGTCTCCCTGTAGCCCCAGCTGGCCTGGAGCTTACTATGTAGACCAGGCTGACCTTGAACTCACAGAGATCCACCTGTCTTTGCTGAAGTTAAAGGTGTGTGCCACCACACCCGGCTTCTTTTTCAGATTCCAGGACTCTTGGGATATTATTCTCTCTCAGGCAGGACTTTGCAAGTAAGAGCCCAACCTTGGCTCCTGGCTAAAGATAAGCTCAGCCCCTTCTTGTCCTCTGTGCTGACTCAGCACTGGGTCCTCTCATCTCTCACCAGGCCTGCCGCCTCTGCCTCCTGCTGCCCTCCAGTCTGGAATCACTTCTTCAACTTGTCAGGAGGCCTCTGGACAAAATGGAACTGCCTCCCTACCTCAGTCTCTGCCTCTGTCCCCTGTTTCTGCCTCTTGTGGTGCTGAGGGCTGCACTCAAGAGCTTGGGGGTACCGCCCCCTTCATCTTATCCCCACACCTGTCCCTGCCCTACTCCTTGTTTGTTCTTCCTTATGAATACCAGGCAAAGGCTTGTCTTGTGTATTTTGTTGATAAGTAGTGTTGAGTTTTGGGTGGTATTCTCTTTAGTTTTCTTTTCCTTTTTCTCTCTTGAGGACCTTGGGATGGAACCCAGGACCTCATGCATGCTCCTTGAGCTCTCTGTCACTGAAGCCCTACTATTATATTTGAAATTCCTTTTCAAGTGGACACAGCGACATGCTTGTGATCCTAGATACCGGGAGGCTGAAATAGGAGGTGCAAGTGTGTGGTCACACACATACACACAATGTTCTACTTCATTCAGGTCTTTTTTCCTTTTTATATTTTTATTTTTTATTTTTCTTTTATGTGTATGACTGTGTTGCCTGCATGTATGGAATGGCATCTGTGTTGTGCAATGCCCACAGAGGTCAGGAGAGTTATGGACTGTTCTTAGCTGCCATGTGGGTGCTGGGACTAGAACCTGGGTCCTCTGCAAGAGCGTTCAGTGCTCTTAATTGCTGAGCCATCTTTCCAGCCCCAAGTCATACTTTTCTTTGCTCACATGGATCCCTTTCTTGCTGATGGCTTTCCTCTACTGTTTTGGCTTGGGGTTTGTAGCACTGGATGAATAACTACCTCAGTACCAACAGCAAGCATAGGTTTCTTTTTAAGACTTGAGGTCTCTTCTCCCAGTGGACCTCCTGTCCTGCCTATACTGAAGAGCTGCCTGGAGAGGCTATGTAAAAAGATGGGATGTTTGGAGCTGGAGAGATGGCTCAGTAGTTAAGAGCACTTACTGCTCTTCCAGAGGACCTGGGTTTGGTTCCCAGCATCCACATGGCAGCTCACAACCACCTGTAATTCCAGTTCTGGGGGTTCTGATGCCCTCTTCTGGCCTCCACAGGCACTGCACACAGGTGGTGCACATACATACATACATACATACATACATACATACATACATAGAGGCAAAACATGCACATAAAATAAAAATAAAGGATCCTGTTTTAAAAGGCAGGAATGTGATAACAAATAGGTGGAACTTGATGCCTGTGACCCTTGTCCTTGCTTTTACACTGGCTGGAGTCTTGCCTACAGCATCTCTTCAAATACCAAACAAGCAGGCTTTTCTTCTGGCTGGAAGGCACAATCCAACTTCTTTCCTCTGATGAATGGAGCCACTTTCCATGTTCCCCCTCAGTCTGTCACAGGAGTTTTAGTTAGTATTCTCTGTTGTAAACATCTCTCATTTGCCTGCTAATCTTTTTGATTTAATTATTTTTATTTTATGTATAACGAGTGTTTTGCCTGTATGTATATATGTATACCACAAGTGTGCCTGGTGTCCGTGAATGTCAGAAGAGGGTGTTGAATCCCCTGGAACTAGAGTTACAGATAATTGTGAGCCACCAGGTGGGTGTTGGGAATCAAACTTGTGTCTTCTGCAAGAGTGTCAAGTGTTCTTAACCACTGAGCCACTTATCCAGCCCCTAGTTTGTTAATCTTACAGTGTTAGCAGTTGGAAAGAACTTTTACTAAAACTATCAACTTTTCATCTGACATTTTGAGATTTTTGCAATAACTATTTAAGAGGTTTCTCCCTGGGGCTGGAGAGATGGCTCAGTGATTAAGAACACTGGATATTCTTGCAGAAGGTCTAGGTTTATTTCCCAGAATGATGTTTGGGAGTTGGAAAAGATGGAGCACACCTTTAATCCCAGCACTTTGGAGGCAGAGGCAGGCAATCTCTGTGAGTTCCAGGCTAGACTGTCTCAAAAAGTCCAAAAAAAAAAAAAAAAGTTGTTTGGGGGCCAGCAAGATGGCTCAATAGGTAAAGGTGTCTGCTGCCAAGCCTGATAATCTGAGTTGGATCCCTTGAATCCACTTAGTGAAAAGAGAGAACCAACTCCCAAAAGTTGTCTTCCAACCCCACCCCACCCCCACATAAATAAATAAATTTTAAAAAGAATGTTGTTTGTTGAGCTGGCCATGATGGCCTGTACCTGTAATCCCAGCACTTGGAGGGTGAAGGCACATAAGAAGCAATAGTTCAAGGTCATCCTCTGCTACCTAACAAGTTTAAGGGCATCCTGGGCTACATGAAATGCTATCTTAAAAAGACAAATAAAAGGGGAGCTGGAAACTGCGAGCATAACTTTAATTCCAGTGTTCTTGAGGCAGAGGCAGGCAAATCTCTGAGAGTTCGAGGCCAGCCTGGTCTACGTAGTTCCAGGCCAGCTGGGGCTACAGGAAGACCCTGTCTCAAAAAAAAAAAA